CGGGCAAGGTGCCGACCGACCGCCGAGCTCGGGGCTCCCAGCGGGGCTGGTCGGGGTTGTGCCGGGCCCTGCCGCCCCGCCGAGCTCGGGGCTCCCGGCTGGTCGGTGCCGGGCCCCTGCTGCCGCGCTGCTCTGCGTTTCTGAAAGGCGAGGTGCTTCAGGGCGGTCCCTTCAACCTCGGGCGTCCCTGAGGTGTTAGTGCTGGCTGCCAGAAGCAATATAATGGCCTCTCTGCTCTGTGCTTTTCTTTTTCATAAACTTGATGAGATCCCTTTTTAAAACTTTTTTTCTCTCTAAAAGGCTCTTGTTTGTTGAGGACGACATACGCCAAATTGGGAGAGGAGACCAAAAACCCAAGCTGTGACTTTTAGTGAAGTCATATGTAAGGTTCCTTCTATTCCTACACTGGTTATATTGCCCTTTGCGCTGCCTTTGTCTGAGCTAGTCAAATTGTGCGCCTTCCAGCCTGGGCGGCAAACAACCCATCTACTGCATTGGACCACCAATCGGTAAATCCTGTGTATCATTCATTGCCTTCTGCTGTACATCCTTAGTCCCCAGTATTTGTTATATTATGGTCAACAATACTGATGTAACCTGTTGCAGGTAACACTATATCTTGCCTTATCTGTTCTAGAACTTACGTATTGGAAGGACTCATAGGCCCTGTGTTGCTTGCAACCAATCGCTATTCTGCTTATAAAGTAACGTAAAGCTTTAGTTACTTGTTTGCTCTATAGATACTGCACGTATTACAGTTTGGTTGCTGTGTCTTTTTCCAGATCACTATGAAGGCCTTGTATTGTCAGCAGAATTCACCTGGAGAGGAAATGACATTTGTCTTCCAGGAAAGAGTGAGTTCCAACCATAATAGCACTATTAATCATTCAGTGGAAGAAGAGGGTGTGGCTGAATGCCACAAGGGAATTGAAACACCTAACTCTTCTGTAGACTTAAAAAAGAACTGGTATAATCCTTGAACATACAGGCAGGTAAATGAAAATAGGGGAGGTGTATTTTACCATCATCGTGCAGCACTTGGCAAGACCAGTAATAGATTTCTCTGTGCAGTTTTGGTGTCCATATTTTAAAAACAAGTTTTGCAGGCGCAATAAGTGAGTCCATATTAAGCCAGGGTTCATATCTCCTGGTTGGATTTTCTGGTCACTGAAAGAGTAGAAATATAGCTTGAGAAATTTATCGTGTTTGGAGTGTTTCTACTCCTCCCTTATTTTCCTTCCTCTTGTGAGTTCTTTGGTCTTAGTGAGGACAGAGATCACAGTGCAGCTTTTTTCAGAGGGCATTGATAAATCTCCTTTGTCTAGCAACCTGTTTTCCTACAACTTAAAGGAACAACCAGACGATAACTATTTTTCTGTCAAACTTAGCCAAAACTATTGTGCTAAAGAGTCTTTGTCAGTTTGATGGAAACATTAATTGGATAAGTGCGTACACATGAGCTTGTGGCATAAGGCTAAAATAGGATGTCAATGAATGTATATCGATGCAGTATGGGTCTCTGAACAGTAGAAAAATGCTTATGTGGTTTTGAGGATGTGAACCTGTGTTCTTAAATCTCTTATACGTACAAAATAAATTACTATAGGCACCTATGTATACCTGTGTGACATAGATACCTAAATATACCTATGTATATTACCTATGTAATATAGATACTTAAATATACCTATGAGCCATATATCAAAATGAAACAATATAGTACTGGTGAGAATCTTAATTGAGCAGCTGCAAAGTCCCAGTAGTGAAGCACATCTAACGAACTGCCTGAAGAGAAGGATGTAATGAGATGAGTGATTTTGATACAACCAAGGTGCATATTCATGGAGCAGTCTTAGATCTACTTAAACTGATTATGAAATTGTGCTTTTGCTGAAAAGGTTTGTTCACCTTTCAGCAGCACGTTTTTGTTCTCTTCCTTGTAGTGGTTTTAGGAGTCATGCAGCTATAAGGTGAGCTGGATCAGCTTACTTATCCAGGTGAAAACTAGTAATTAGTTACGTTAGTTCACATCATTGTGATGGCTCCATGATTGGTAGCTCCAACACAAATGTGGGGATTAGAGTATGTAGATGTTGGCAACAGGTGAGCCAGACAGCTCTAGTACAGCCTTAGGTAAGCTAAAGCAGATCTTGAAACTGCACTCCTGTGCATAGACTTTGTCTGCCTACTTGCCTATTTAAATCTCTTCAGACAGGAACTGATTCAGCAGGTGGCTGTAATGACCAGCACTATGGAATCCTCCTCTTAAATAGAAATAAACACTGAAAAAAGTGAGGAAAAAGAAAGCTAGTTGGCTGAGGAGACCTTAATAGAACAGAAGGTGGATAACGAAAAGTCAGTAGCTTGGATGAAGAATTTCCATAGCAAACCTCCTTATGTGGTGCTTGGTCAATTCCTAATAATGACATATTTAAATTATGAAGGCAGGAACCAGTTAACAGCACAAACATTTCATCATCTCTTTTTGTTCTGAAGACTTGTATTCTTCTATAAAGACAAGCAGTTTTATTTTGTGCATTGTAGCAGTACTTAGGTTCATTGAGCTATGCATACCAAAAGGATAGTTCCAAAAGACAATATAATCTTAAATTTACATAAATTACATAAGTCCCTTAGATTCTAACTGCCTTTTTTTTTTTTTTAAACTGGAGATGCGGAATTCGTATAGTTCAACAGTTTATATTCTTCTATAAAGACAAGCAGTTTTATTTTGTGCATTGTAGCAGTACTTAGGTTCATTGAGCTATGCATACCAAAAGGATAGTTCCAAAAGACAATATAATCTTAAATTTACATAAATTACATAAGTCCCTTAGATTCTAACTGCCTTTTTTTTTTTTTTAAACTGGAGATGCGGAATTCGTATAGTTCAACAGTTTAATGGCTTTTCTGTTCTGTGGAAGGAAGAGTGAGAACCCACTTTGGTTTGTTTGAGGAGCAGGAGCTCAGTCTGACTGGCAAAATGCCTTGCAATTTTAAAGGAACAGCATGTGTTCAACTCAGCTGGGGTGAGAAAAAGTTCAGCTCAATATTCCTTGGACAGAGGTTACTGTTCATGTTGCTAAGCCTATGAGAAAAGCAACAGCTGTTTCTTGGGAAGAGTTTAAAAAAAAAAAAAAGAATCAAAGGAAGCTTAAACGCTTAAGAATATATCTTAACTTCAGAAGTAGAAACAAAGCTCTCTCATGACTTTCTGGTAAGCGTTTCACTTTCAATTCCAACAGACACCTAGACTGCAGACTACAGTATAACATGGAAATACATGGTTTTGCCTCCAGTACCTGAGGTAGCTCTTCAACAGCTGTGTGGAGTCAGCAGTCCAGAACTCAACCTAGCTAATTAAGTACTTTAAAGTAGCAGTACTCAACTACTTAAAATCATTTCAGCTGTCAATCCCAAAATCAAAAGTTGAAATAGTAAGGGCACACTTCATGAGTAGAACACTTTTGTATGTGAGGTGCCCATCATTTGTGGGACTTAACAACAACTTATCGGTGCTATTTCTTTGACACCATCTGGACTACTTGAATGTTTACCTCGGTATGTCAGACATTCATGTCAAAATTCTCTTAAAATTCTCCATCGCTCTTGCAGTATAGCTTTAATATTGAAGATCTGCTTCCTTCTATTTGTTAGACAGACACTAGGGAGGTAATTATCTACTAAAATTGTTTCAGATAAGGGTGTGATATTCAACTTGGGGGGAAAAAAAAAAGCAGAAAAATGTCAGTGTCGAGGTTTAGTAAGGTCTAGTGGTCAGTTTGTAATAATAATATACATGTACTCAAAATGGTGTTGTAAATCCATCGTGATATCAGTTCCCTTTTCATTGAAAGAAATTTCTTGTTCTGACTACAAAACAATCTAAAACAAAGACTGTGGAAAAGTGCTTTCAAGAGCTTGAGAGGATCCTACTAGCACATTCATGTTGCATTGTATAATGTAACATCTATAAATTTGTCCTAGGAAAACCTTCCTCCTACAAGAGACAATGATGTGAAAGTACAAGTTAGAGCCTGTGCGCTGAGCTGGATAGATACAAAGGTATTTGCTTTTTTTTTTTAATAAAAGCTAGAGGTGTTTACAGTTTCCGTTGAAGATCTAAGTCAGGGCCTTAGCTGGTAACTGGCACAATTCCATTTATGCCATCTGAGGATATGGCTTTACTGCTGAGAAAGAGGGCACAGGATTGATGTGGTATTCTTGCATATCTCTTTAACTAAAAAGCACCTGTAATTTGGTTCCTAATTTATGGAGAAAGATCAGTTGTCATTTGTGAGTTCTTTTACAGTAAATCCCTTTTATCATCCTCTGCATACTGACTTTAAGTCACAGTTTGGCTTGCCTATTAATAACTCGGGTTTTTTTTAATATGCATCTAAATTTAAATACAGAAAACCAGAGCAAGGTTTTTAATATTAAATGAAGAATGTGTGTACTTTTTTCCCCCAGATAACATTTTGGTAATGGCCCAACTTTCTTACTGTGAATATCACACACTGTAAGATGATGATAAATATGGAAATTTTGAGCTTTAGTAAGAATGTTGTAACCATTCTTTTTGTTTAGCTTCTGTCAGAAATTAAACTGGAGAAGGAGCTTCTACCTGTTGGTCGAGAAATTTCTGGAGTTGTATTGGAAGGTAAGTTACTATAATTGTCTTGTGAGGGTATGGAGCAAGAATTAAGGTCTGGTAATCCAGAACAAATAAATACTGTTTGCATGGTACACCTTTAATAGTAGGAACGATTTGCTTTCTTAATGAGGCTTCCCCTAAGTCAGTAATGATACTGAAATGAAAGTAAAAAAAGGAACTGAACTGTAATTCCTGCATATTTGTTCAGAGTTTAAAAAAAAAAAAAAGCACAACAGCTTTCTAAATAAAATATACTGAGATCTTAAGATATTACCTGCACATGCTATAACAATCTTTAATTTATTTGTAAAAATCATTTGTTGGAATAGCAAAGACAAAATAACATCCAGGAATTTCAGCAGTGTTTCACTGGCTTATGCACCTTTGATGTCTAGTTTAAAGCCTAGATCTTTCAAACACATATACGTGTGTGTACTTGCATCTACCTGTTTGTGCATGGGGTGCCAAAGCTTACTGAATTAAACATTTGGTTTTGGTATGTGCATATTTAATAGGAAAAAAAAATGTTTTCACTAGCAGGGTATATTTTTAGTTTTGTGAGCTAGTGATAAACAGTCCTCTCAATTGCATGTTCAATTTCAGCTATAAACATTTATCTTCATACCTTCTTTCCTCCTTTTCATATATTCTTCATGAGTTGGAAGAAAGGTGACCTTTTTTCAGCCAGATGATGAAGTGGTGGGTAAGTTAATGCTTGTTTGCCTTATCACCAACACAATTAGTAATCTTTTTATAATGGATGGCTGAGGTTGTAATCATTGCTAAAGCTACAATTAGATATTTATTTTGAAATATTCAACTAGTGTCACATGAATAAACTCCTCTAAATGAGAATTGTATTCTAAAAGTGTTCTCTTAGGGAAGTTTTTTTGTTACAAGAATGGAAGTTCAGGTCCCCAGCTAATGTAATCTGCCATAGCCCTACTGCATTCACTGAATCTTTAAGAATATACACCTGGGTCCCATTAGCCATGTGGAGTGAGTGTTCTAAAGGCAACCATCTGAATACATACACAATTATTTGTATTTATAACACCATCCTGATGTAATTAATACGTATCTCTTGATTTCTGTGGATGATACAAAGTCTAGGCTTATATTTCCTGCCTTCTTGAGGATGATATAAAAATATACTTTTAACTGCTAGTGATGATTCTCTTGTTCAAGCATACTGAAGACTCTTCAGTTTCTTCTAAGTCATGTCAATTCCTGTTTGAGTAAAGAAATCAAGGGTGGTCCTAACTTAAACGTGCAAGTAGGGTCACCAGTTCTACTGGATTTTCTGAGTTGCCAAAAGCAGTGCACGTACTCAAGTGTTTTGCTGAATACAAGGCCACACTTATAAAGAAACACTGATTCAAGCTGCTCATTTTCCACAATCTTCGTTTTTACTGCACGTTAGAGTTCTTGAAAGTGGACTTGTTTCCCTGCTAACTTAACCGCAGGGAGTCCATGCTTTATGAGCCTGCTATGACATTATTGTTAGAGAAACCCATCAGAAAGGCGAGTGGTAATCGCTGTACTTTGTTTGTTGTTTGAAAGAGACTTCCAGGTCAAAAATCACAGGGAAAGTGTTTGGGGCTTTTCTTTTCCTGGTAAAACTTTGGCAGACCTTTCATATCATTAGCTTAAATCTAATGGAATAAGATGTGTGATTATTTATTCACTGCAGAAGGTGTAATTCTTACAGTTGGGAATTAATATTCCATTTTATGGGGTACAGAAGTGGCTTTGCTTTGTTTAATAAAGTAGAACAGTTACGGCCAGGCATTTTCTGGTCTTGCATGTGAATTAACTTTGAACTATGAATAGTGTTATTATTGTGAACAGTGTTTCTCATTTGGTTAAATATCTTACTGACATATGCTGCATCTGTTGAATATTTTAAAATAGTATTTGTGTTTCAATCACCTTCTGTTGTAGCTGAAGGAATACAGTTTCAGTAAGTAGTCAGGAAAAAACACCCCTCTGAAAATACGTCAGTGGACCTGAGAGGCCTAAGTGACGTTCTAAGTGGCTGTAGGAGGCTTGGGGTTTGTTGTGAATTAGGACTTGATTCCACTCTTGTTAATTCAAATATAGAATAATTAGTTTGAATCAGCTGAGCTACTTCAGTGTAAATCTGACATTAAAGGAATGGAATCTGTACTTGCGTCATGAAAGAAGCAGATTCATTTTGTCTGACACTTCTGTTGTCTGTGTTTTTTGTTCTTGAATACTGAAAGTTTGCGAATGCAGGTACAGAAGAGGACTTGATTCCACTCTTGTTAATTCAAATATAGAATAATTAGTTTGAATCAGCTGAGCTACTTCAGTGTAAATCTGACATTAAAGGAATGGAATCTGTACTTGCGTCATGAAAGAAGCAGATTCATTTTGTCTGACACTTCTGTTGTCTGTGTTTTTTGTTCTTGAATACTGAATGTTTGCGAATGCAGGTACAGAAAAGTCAGAATTACATGTATGGAAATAGGACGATGAAGAAAACAGCATTAAATATTTTTAGCCCTAAAAGAAAGAAAACCCACTTCTTTAAATACTGAAATCTCGTAGCATTCCCTTTGAAACAGCTGTTCAACCTTATGCATCCAATATAGATGCTATAAAGACAAAAGATAGGAATGAAATATTTCTATTACGGTAAATCTTTCCTAACAAGCACACTTCCCAGTTACTATTGCTGTGAGTTTATACATAGTTAATGAATGAGCAGATTTAAAAGAAAATGAGCTATTGCCAAATGGTTTGGTTACTTGTGTGTTTAATAACATCAAACTGTCCCAAAATATAAATTGTCAGAAAAATATTTCTACTTGATTTTTACAAAAAAGCCTGTCCTTCTATTGAAGAGTATAGTCCTCGTATATACTCCTTACTGAGTTTAACAGTAATAATATGGTCATACAGTCCTTATTTATGAATCTACTCTTTTTTATGTAAGAATAGTACTGTGCTCACTGGAAGTACTTGGTGTGTTAAATCATTGATCTACTCCTAAAATCATACCAAGAGTTGTTTCTTGTTTTTCAAGTTTTTCTCATCCTTCTTTAATCTTCCAGAGGAGATTTTGTTGTCTATATAATGTATTCTCTTGTACATAATTGTTTGTTTGGTTAAGAAAAATACAGTAGTACAACCTCAGACCAGGCAAAAATCTTTTGTTTTGAGATATGTTCTTGACTTCCTTTCAAAGTGACAGTTTTATTTGTTGCTCTCAGAATCTTTTT